AACTCCCATAAAGCTTCAGTGATCCACTTGTAACAGGATAGATAGATATGATAAAAAGAAAAGAAAATAGCAATTCAAAATAGAACCATATACACTCAATCTATAATGAGAGAACAAAAGATTGGAGAAAATACAGTATTCTCAACAAATGATGTTAACATATTCACATGGAAAAAGTATGAATTTAGACATAGACACTGCACTTTATTCAGAAATTAAAAATGGATCACAGACATCAATGAAGAACACATTGTAAACTCCTAGAAGAAAAGGAAACTACGTTAACATAATAAAAGCCATGGACAAAAACCTCACAGTTGTGAGGTGCTGGGAACTTTTCCTCCAATATTATGAACAAAGCAACATGTCTGCTTTAACCACTTCTATTCAGTATAGTACTAAATGTTCTATTTGGGTCATTTAGACAAATCCAACACATGCAAATTGGAAAGGAAGTAATAAAAGTATATATACAATAACACATGTAGAAAAAGGTCAGTATTCCTCACAAAAATGTTGTAATAAATGAATTAAGCAAAGTAGCAGGAAAGGACAATCAGTACACAAACTAAATTTCAAAAGTGAATGGTGCCTAAAGGTACTATGAAAGTAGCGTAATTTACAATAGCACCAGAGTATCCACCAGAATAAACTTGTAATTGTTCTTGATGCTAACCTTAACTGATGGAGCTGGAAGGAGACTTTATTGTTTTCCCTTTACCACAGTAGGAACCACTGCACCCCACCCAGTCTGGATCCTTGCACTCACGCATAGGTCTTGACCCATTAACACTGGACCATAAACCCACGGATGCATGCCTGTTCTGTCAAACAAGGAGATTCAGTATAATAAGAAACATTAAAAATCACAGGCAGAGCCAGGAATGTAGTGCAAACTTTAATCCCAGCACTTCAGAGACAGAAGCAAGCAGATCTTTGTGAGTTCAAGACCAGCCTTGTCTACATAATGAGTTCAGGCCGGCCCAGAGCTACACAGTGAGACCATATAGCAGACAAAACCAAACCAATAATAACAAGTAAATAGTGGCTGCAATTTTCCAGAATCTGTGGAGCAATATGAACATTGAGGTACGTGACCCTAAAGAGTCTCTATTCAGGTCCAACACAACAACTTCAATCTCACACACTCAAAATTTAAAGATTAGAGAATTTGGGAAAAGCAAGAGGTTGACCAAAAATAAAAACTTCACAAGACCATCAGTGTTTTGTTTTGTTTTGTTTTTTTTAGGTCAGCAGAGAACAGAAAACATGAAAGAATGAAATTCACTAGTTAAGTGCAGACAAAGCCCCAAACATACCTCATTTCAAGCTTTAAGGACTTACAGACTGAGAATAAAAGGGTAGAAAACAAATGAATAGTAACCACTCTACTTACAAATTTTAATCTAAAAACTATTTGAAGAGATAGAGTCATCGTATAAAAGAATCAATTAACAGCGATTTAACATTTGTAAATACTTGTCTGTCCTACATTGGAGTGACTAAATATATAAAGCAACTATTAACAGATCTGAAAGGAGGATAGTAATCAAATCGTAGAGGATTTCAGCATTCCACTTTTACCAATGAATAGATCATCTGTACACGAAGTCAGTAGGGAACTATTGTGCTTCAATTATGCTTTAGGCCAAATGAAAGAAACAACTATACAGAAAATGCTATTTCACAGCAGTAAAATGCACTTCAAGTATACAGAACTCTCTCCCAGACATGATATTGTAGACCACAGAACAGATTTTAATAGATTGAAATTTCAAGTTTCTCTTTCAACCACAATGCTATGAAACTAGAAAGAAAAACGATAGAAGGAAAACTAAAAAACCCACTATCTGTAAAGACATGGGCTGACAAGATGGCTCAATGGTAAAGGCACATGCTGCCAAGTGAAATGACCTGAGTTTGATCCCTTGGAGAGAACCAATTCCTGCAAGTTATCTTCTGATCTTTTCATGTGCACTGTGGCACAACACACACACACACACACACACACACACACACACACACACAAATATAATTGTAAAAAATTAGTAAATGGAGACATTCCTGAACAGTAGGTCAAAGAAGAAATAAAAAATGGAAATTGATATCCTGACATAAAAGAAAATGAAACTAACAGAATAATGCAAAAGCAAAGGCATTTTATCATAGTAGGTACTTTCTTAAAGAGAAGGCAAAGTTGTTTAATAAATAATCTAACTTTACACTTCAGGGAACAAGACAGAAAAAACAAAGTCCAGAGTTAGTAGAAGGGAAGAATAACACCAAGCAGAATGGAAATGAATGGGAGACTACAAGACAAAGGAAACAAACCCTTCTCAAACTCTTCCAACAAATGAAAACAATCCTTTCAAACCGATTTCACCTTCGGGAAGAGGCCAATGCCTTGTATGCGCAGATACAAAAAATCTTCAACAGATTTCCAGCAAACTAATTCAATAGCACATTAAAAAGCTCACATGTTATGATCTAGTCATATTTGCTCCTGTTGTGCAAGGATGGTTTAACATTTGCAGTCAACAAATGAGATACCGTTTTTTAACAATATGAAGGGTAAAATCGTGAATATTTTAATAGTGTTAGAAACACCATTGGAAAAAACGCAACATTTTTCCCATGATAAAACTGTCAACAGGTTAGATGCAGAAGTATTGTGTCTTAACACAATGAAGGCCATGTATACTTACAGCAGACATATTGAGTAATGAGAAAGCAAATGCTTTTCCTGAAGACCAAAAGTAAGAGAAGGATACTCATGGGATCAGCAAAATGGCTCAGTGAGGTGGGTTAAGGTACTTGATCCTGAGAGTTGACAACCTGAGTTTGATTTTCACATCCACATGGTAGGAGGGGAAAATGACTCCTGAAAGATCTCCTTAGACCACCACATGCATGTGCTTTGTGGCCTGTGCACCCTTGCATACACACACAAAATAAGCAAATAACGTGTAATAAAAATTAAAAACCAAATGATGCTCATCCCTAGCACTTGGATTCAATATGATGATGCATGTCCTAGCCAGAAGAATTGAACAAAAAAGAAACATATCCAAATCAGAAAGGAAAACAAAATTTACAAATGATATGGTTATAGAGAAAATATTACTTCAGAAATTATTGCAAGCTACAAATTACAAAGTGCAATATGCAAAATCACACAAGAATCATCTACATTTCTATATCCCAACAGTGAAGTATCCAAAAGGGAAATTAAGAAAACTGATTAAAAATAGTATAAAAAATTAGCTAAGAAATAAAGCCTTAAGTATATCATCAAGTGAATTTGGACAAAGGACCCTTAATTGTTTATCAGGGAAAGGCCTGTCACTTGAACAGTGTTGGGAAAATGACGTATCAAGATTCATAAGAATGAACTTTGAATATACTTATATAAAAATTAGCTCAAAATGGATCAAAGCAATTACATTTTGAAACTATACAAATCATCAGAAGAAAATGTAAAGAAAAAACTTACATTATATGTGGCATTGATTTCATGAGTATGAAGAAATCTTGAATATATTTTGGGGTGAATGTAAATTGGCATAGCCAATATGTAAAACAAAATAGAAGTGCCTTATTTCATGGGTCAAGAAGCATTGAAAGATGCTGTGTACTTTAAAGAGAAGTACAACTGAATTTAACAACAACAAAATTGAAAACATAGGGCTGATGCAATGGCTCACTGGGTAAAAACACGTGCCGCAGAAGCCCAACAACCTGAATTCAATCTGGGGAACCAAGAATGGAAAGAGAACTGCCTTTCAAAGGTTGGCCTCTGACCACACGAATCGTGGCCTGCACATGCCCGCACTCACGCACAGTAAATGGTTTTTATTATTTTAATGAAAATATAACAAATTATCTGGCAAATGTCAATGAAATATATGTAAAATACGAGTAAAATGAAAGGATCTTGAAGAGGTAGCTAATTTGATTTTTATTGTAGACTTGTTAATAACAATATGGAAGCAGTCGAGCTGTCTCAACAGTGGATGAATGGATGAAATGCAGTATGTGCATATAAAGTGAAATGTTCAATCTCCTAAAGGAAATCATGCAATTTTTGACAATATGAATGAACCTAATGGTCATGGTGTGTAAACTAAGTCAGACACAAATACTTTACGATTTCACTTATATAAAAAAAAACCAAGGGCCCTGGGGCACATGGAAAATATTGGTTGAAGGATACCAGCTTGGAAGTTGAACAAATTCTAGGCACTGTGACTATGGTTTGTAATAGTGCGTATTTAGAACTTGATGAGTACATCTTAAGCACTTAGATGCAGTGGTGTAATGACTATGTGAAGTAACGGATATACTAGTTTTGTTGTAGTATTTGCAGTTACATCAAAATGTCACATAGTATAAATCTATATTGTGAATTCTATACCTCAATACAACCATTAAAGAAAAACCCCAGAATATCGAAAAGTGTAAAATATTTGGGGATTAAATTAAGCAATGTAGAGAAAGGCTCATACAATTAAAACTACAAATCACCCCCAAAGAAATAATGACGATTTAAATGGAAATAATCCCTGTTTACAGATTTGAAAGTCATGTTCTGCAGCTGTCAGCACCATACAATGCAATCTGCATACTAAAGACAATCATAATAAACATCATGATGATATTTCAGAAATAGAAAACCCATCCTAACATTCATGTGGCATCTCAAGGGACCTTGAATTATTGACCAAGTCTTGAAATGATCATGGTGATGGACTCGCACTTTCTAATTTCAAAGCTCATTACAATGCCACAGGCATCAAAACCTCACGGTACCATTATAAAGATAGTCATGTAGACCAATGGACGGTAATAGAATATAGAACCCAGAAGCGAACCCTGGTGCATATGATCCATAGAGTTTTTTTAAAAGTTTGCCCAGTCCAATCAACAAGGAAACAACTGTCTTTTCAATACACGGTGCTGGTAAAACTGGATGTCCTCGTGTGAAAGAATGAATTTGGGACCCTTACTTAAAACTATATACAAAGTTGACTCCAGTTAATCAAGGACCTATATGCAGTCCAACAACTATAAAACTCTTGGAATTGGTAATGACTTCTTGGATATGATAATCAAGGCATAGACAACAAAATATATTACAACAAATTAATCCACAAATCTTTAAAGTTTGAGCACCAAAAGATCATCAGCAACCCACAAGAATGAGAAAGGTATTTTTAATTTGCATATCTCACATGGGAATAATATCTGTTACATATAGAGAACTTATTTAAAAAATAAAAAATTCAATTCTTGCAGAAGACCTAGGTTTGAATCCCAGCACCCATATGGCAGCTAACAACTGTCTGTAACTCCAGTTCCAGGGGATCCGACAGTATCTTCTGACCTACGCGGACACTGCATGACACAGGTGCACTTATCTACATGCAGGCAATACATGCATACATATAAAGTAAAAATAATAAAGTTTATTTAAAAAGCAATGCAGTAACAGGCAAAGGACTTTGAAAAGTGTCTAAGAAGATACACAAATGACCAAAATGCACACGAAACAATGCTCAGCATCAATCACTAAGGAAATATGCATCAAACTTACAATGGCAGGGCAACAAAGATGGGTCTGCAGCTAAAGGTGCTTCGGGCCAACGATGCAAGCCTGACAACCTAATTCCATCCCTGGATTCCATGCCAAGTCTGAAGGAGAGAATTGACTCCAGTGTTGTCCACTGACTTCTGCATACAGTTGCATGCTCCCCCTCCATCATACATGAAGACAAAGACACACATTAATAAAAATTATAGAAACCCTAGGGGTTGGGGATTTAGCTTGGTGGTAGAGCACTTGCCTAGCAGGTTCAAGGCCCTGGGTTCGGTCCTCAGCTCCGGAAAAGAAATTATAAAAACCCTTACCATGACATGTTCTCTCTGTGTAACAGATACTAATCCCATATCAGATATGCAATAAAAATACACTTCAAGCCCTCTAATTTTTTATAACTACTACATGTGTTTGTACATTTTAAAAACAAAATAACAATTGGTAAAGAAAATTTGGAGAAATTAGGATCCTTGTGTACTCTTGTGAGAATCTACAGTAGTATATAACTCCCACGGAAGTAAGTTTGGTGTCTCCACAAGAAATAAAAATGTAGTTACCATATGTTTCATCAATCCCACTTCTGAGTATTTACTCTAAAGAAATTAACACAAAGCCTCAAAGATTCATTTGTACAATGATGTTCACACTGGTATTGTTTATAATGGTTAAGCACGGAAAAAAACAAATGTCATTTAGTGGCTAAGAAAAATATGTACATAAATACAGAGTGGAATATTATTCATTCTTGAGAAGAAATTCTGGAGGAGTGCCGAGGCTGTGGAAAAGAAGTGCCTGGCACCCGCCTCCTCCACAAAGAACCAACTACACAAGTCTATATGTTGCTCTGTTGAGGGAAAAGACTGGAAGAACACTGAAAATCAGCAAATGAGACTGGAACTTTGTAATCTTTAGAGACCCAGGACAACAGCATAGAGAAACAAAATAGCCTAGCATTTGTCACTTTGGTTTCACAGATCTAAAGGGGAAGATTCTTCCTTGTAGGAATAAGGACAGAAAAGCAAGTCTCTGAAAACTCAATTTGGATGCTAGAAGTCCTTGCTATAGGCAAGCTTTGGTCTTCACATACTTGTAGAGCTTAGATCAGTAACATGAAATCTTCACAAAATTCCCTTGCTCAGGAAAAAGATCTCACATCATCTTTCTGTGACCTCGTATCCAGGATCTGTCCCAACAAGAAAGCTGCTCTGAGTCTGTATTTTCCCGGGTCAGAAACCCATATTTGTGACTCCAGATACTTTCCTGCACTGGCCTGTGATACAGCGGTCTCTTGAAGTCAGATTGGCACAGAGGCTTTGATAAATGTGGATGAGAAATCCAGGAAGAATAGCAATGCTACAAAATACAAGTAGACATCTTGGAACTGAAGGGCTCAATAATTCGAATAAAAATACGCTTAAAGGCCTCTACAGTGAACTGGATTGTATGGAGATACAGAGCAAAGCAAGCACACAAAGCAAAAAGTGAACAAGAAGAAAGGAAAAGAACAAACATTTCTCGGAATATTCAAAGGCATAGAGGAAGAAAGATTAAAAAAATTCTATCCAATGAAATAATAGATCATTTCCCTAATCTTAAAGAAGATAAGGTACATCCATAATATACTGTAGGCTTTTAGTATATAAAATATACATGGGGAACAGAAAAGATCTCCATCATGGCATATTACAAACTGTCAAAAGTATAAGACACACACACACACGCACCAAAACAACAAACCAACCATTAAAATCTCCGAGAAATGTGATGTCACCTTTAGACTGTCGTTACACTAGCATTTCAAACATGAAATCCTACAGGCCATGCAGGGATGAAATGAAATATGCCGTGACTGGAAACAAAAATACCAACCAGTAGTTCAAGGTTATCCTTAGAATTCTAAGGAAGAAAAAAATCCTGACCACCAGATCAGCCTTCAAAATATGGTTAAGGGAGTCCTGCATACAGAAGTAAGGGACGACTACCTTCATAGAACCATTTAAATGATCAAATCACAAAGATAAATGAGAAGAAAAAAAATTCAGCCAAAAGACAACAGTATAACATGATAAGATTTCATTTATCTGTAATAACCTTGAGAATGTAGCCCAAATTCTGCAGTCAAAGATGGTTAAATATATGCTTTTTAAATTTTTTTTAAATGTAAATTTTTTTTTATGTGTGTGTATCGCCTGCATGTAAGTAGGTGCACCCTGTGTTGTGCAATGGCCTTGGAGGACAGAAGAGGCTGTCAGATCCCCTGGAACTGGAGTTATGGATGGTTGTGCATGCTGGGATTTGAACCCAGGTCTTCTGCAGGAACAGTGTTCTTAACCTCTGAGCCATCTCTCCAGCCCCAAATATATGCTTTTAAAAAACAATATGAAGCTTGGTGTGGTGGTGCACGCCTTTGATCAGAGGCAAGCAGATCTCTTGTGAGTTCAAGGCCAGCCTGGTCTACATAGTGAGTTCCAGGCCAGCTGGGGCTACAGAGAGACCATGTCTCAAAAAGACCAAAAATTTAATTTAATTTAATTTAATTTAAAAAATAGAACATGATAACCTACAAGAAAAGATGGGTAATGGTATTCTAAGCAAATGGAAATCTAAAACAAGCAGGAGCAACTCTAGTAGGCAACAAAGGTTTCTTGAAAACAACCAAGAGAAGAGGTGAAAGTCTCTATATAATGATCAGGAGATCGAGTAAGCAAGAAGATAATTCTGTCAAGTCTATAGTCACTCTTCATCAGAGCATTTATTTTTATAGCACAAGCACTATCAGACAAAAGCAGAGATGGACTCAAGTACAATCGCAGTGAGAGACATCAGTACTTCACGTTGTCAGTAGATCGCCCAGAGTTAGAGCATACCAGAGAGCCAATGGCCTTAATAAACATTTGTATAACTTCCCATCCAACAGCTGCAGAGGACACATTCTCTTTATTGGTTTATGGAACTGTCTCCAGAAGAGTATCAGTCCACCCAACAAATCCTAGGCTGAGAATGTAGGTTAGTGGTAGAATAGTTGTCAACTGTGGGAAAGGACAGGGGTTTGAAACCCAGCAATGACTAAGCACAAGCAAACAAGCATTAAAAAAAAAAAAAGTTGTAACGAAAACATTGAAAAAATGTCTTCAGCTTTTTCGGATGACAAAAGAATAAAACCAGAGCTAATAAGAAAGGCATTTAACATTTTATACCAATACAGAAAGGCTAAACAACACACTGAACAATAGGACACAAAAATCAAAAGGGAATTTTTTTTCTAGAAACAAAAGAAAATGAAAACAACATACTAAAATATACCTACCTAGGAAGTAATAAGAAAGATGTTTATAGTAGCAAGAACCCACGAACACATTTCCGTTTATCTAATGATGCACCTCAAGGATTTAGAAAACAACAAACCAGGCCCCACAGGAGGAGAAGGGACAAAAAGGCCAGATTAAAAGTAACTGAGATAGAGGAACTGTGGAAATCAGTGAGACAACTGTGGTTTTAGAAGAAAAACTTAAATCAGCCAGCCATTAACTAGACAGACCATGAAAAAGGAGGCCCGGTAACATCATGAAAAAGGAAGTACTAAAACTAATACATAACCACAAAGAATCTTTCATAGTATGAAAAACTACATGCTAAGACATTGTAAGATATAGAAGAAATGGACACATGTGCTCTACCAATTTGAATCTATTCATACAAAGTTTGAATAGACTTAGAACTAGCGCTGACATTGAACAGTAGTGGTCTACTAAAAAGCCCGGGGCTGGGTAGCTTTACTGCTTCATTTACCGAACGTTTAAAGAACCAGTTCTTCTCAAACTATTAAAGTGAATTAAACATTAAAGCATTATTCTGTTTCCAAAATCAGATTGGAACACACACAAAATCCTGAAACAGTATCTCTGATGAACGTAGCTGCAAAACTTTCCATCAAAATATGAGCAAATGGAACTAAACAGCACATCAAAAAGATGGCTCACCATAATCCGTTAGGTCCATCTTGGGGATTCAAGGGTAGTTCAATATATGCAAATTAGTAAATGGAATACACCAGAAACCACATGTTCACCTCAACAGATGTCAAAAAGCCTTCAATAAAGTTTAACACACACAATTTTGGAAACCCTGAACAAATTATAAGATTGTACTTTAACATAACAATGACTGTATGGCAAATGCATATCTAATATTCTGTGCGGGAGAAGCTGAAAGCAGCTCATCTAATCTAAGACAGAAGCAGACAGGGTGTGCGTACTTGATGCTCTTAATCGGTTCAATACTGGGAGTTTTCATTAGAGCGATTGAAGAAGAAAAATGCATAAAGAGGAAAGTCAGAAGTCTCAAAGTATATGATTCTGTATATAGAATATCCTGAAACTTTTATGAATCTACCCTTAGAATCAAGAAGT